ATAACAATAAAACGTTACAAGTTTCATTTACTGTTGGGACGCGTTGAAATCTGTTTAAACCAAGCACAAAAATTTAAAAAACAAAAAAAACAAAAATAATAAAATTTGAAATTTAATTAATTTAATAAGAAATCAATTACAGGCACTTAAATCTACCTAGGCATTTGTACGTGTATGCATTGTTTAGTATCAATAAACAAATATTAAAAAAAAGAACGAATTTACGTTTATGTTTATTTATTTATTTTTAATTATTGTTTTTTTTTTTTTTGTTGCTTTTTCCCCTTAATAATGCATATGTGTGTGCGGTTTGACCTTAGAGAAATACGCTACAAAAAGATATAATAAAATAGATTTGCAACTATGAAGAGCATTTAAAGTTTATGATGGCTTGTATTAGTTTTAAAGACTTAAGCTTTATGATGCCTCTTAATAAGAATTACGAAGAAAAATCTCAATTGACGAAATCCTTTATAAGTAAAAGTTATTAAAAAATGATTTCGTTCTCTTTGTGTTTCTCTATATACTTCTTAAAATTACATAATCAAATAAGTTCTTTGAGGAACGAAAATGCGTGTTGCGAAAACCGCAACATTATCATCATCATCATCATCATCATCATCATCGTCATCATCATCATCAACGACAACAACGTGATAATTTGGAAATTGTTGTTGTAAAAACATACAAAATAGAGTAGAGTAATATTTTGAAAAGGGCGTTTTTAAGCTTTATTCACATATACGAATAGAGATGAATAGATTAGACAACGGGTCGTTTAAGATACAGTGTGAGTAACTACAAGAAAAATTCGTTCATTTTGCATTTTGAGGGACTGCTTAGGCGGCATTAAACTTTTATGAGTAAGTAAAATAGGATTTCCAAGACAAAATCCAAAAAAATAAGCAAAGATTTTGGTCGCAAAAAAAAAAAAAAAACATGTAATAATGTAATACATTCACCTTACGGCACACCTTAAATAAATATCTGCCAACTTGAAATATCTTATGAAAAGTGCCAAGATTTGGTTTAATTATGGGCGTGCGAGCACGAGTTCTTTGATGATTCTAAGGAGAGGGGTAAAATTCCGAATTTTCGATTAATACCGTGCGTAGTTAACTTCTGTTAATAACTTCTCTTATATCGCCTCGCTTAACTATCACCAGCAAGCTTATAAGCTATAAAGTTTATGACCGCGTACAATGGTGAAACGCTTGATTTGCTTCAACTTTTAGATTTCTATTTTAATTTTCATGATACAATGGATTCCAACCGACAGACCGACAGAAGAAAAGACCATTGTACAGATCTAAATTGCATCGTAATTTTAAACTCAATGAAAGCATATGGTAGCTCATCCAAATATTTTCTAGTTATTACAAGCGATATGGAAAAGTAGTAGTTATAGCAGCATTTAGTAGCACACAATATCGACAACGATCGATGTTTGGTAAACATTGTCATTTAATGAAATTTAATAAAATATATTTGAATGAAAGATTTCTTCTTCTTTGCTATTAACTTGATTTCATTGAAAAGGAAAATTAATGTTTAAAAAAAACCGCACAACGAAGACAACATTTGTTTTGAAAACAGAAATACTAACTATAGGGAAGGGGAAGCCCTTTAAAAAATTTACCATTGTGTAAACCTTCGGTCGAAAGGCACAGGCATTCAGGAATTTCATTAGTGCATCTACATAGGTAGCCGCACTGCAATCAAATAAAATGGATTAAGTGACCTTAGGTCGAGCATACGAGTCTATTTATTAACAGTTGTATATGAGATATATCGAATCAATTTACATTCTCCACAGCGTTAGTAGTGATGAGCAAAATTGAGCAAATTAAAGTCCAGAATATTATTAAAAATTTGAATAATTTTTAGCTTCAATTGGATTGTATAGTGGGAGCGAACATCAATGATGAAAATTTTCAATCAATCTAATTCTTTTTAGAATAGAATCGTACATAAGTTGAGCGGCGTAACGCAAATAAAGTGAACAAGTATTTTAAAATATGGTCTAACAGCATAACTAAAAAGAGTAAAGACTAAATGGTTTCCTTGTGTTGGCACACATTCAAAATGCATACATACGTGCACATATCAAAAATAAATATTAGATGAGATGACAAACCTTATATACACTGTCATCCATCCTTTCCATTTCGTATTGTTAAAGTAAATCTTATATTGCCATTGCAACAAAATTTAAAAAGGATATGACAACGCCAAGACACTCCCAAATAACCTACTTCTACAATACGTTTTCCTTTGTGTGTGTGTGTGTGTGGATGTGCGTTTGTCCCTCTCTCTCTCTCTATGTATGCAGTCAAAGAGCTAAGCATAAAGCAATGAAGCAATGAAAATGTTTAGTATTGATGATGTAGTAGCAGTGGGGATGTTGGACAAACAAATACACACACACACACACACACACACACACACACACACACACACACACATACATACATACATACA